TCATACATACATACATATATCTATGTATGTGGTACTATATTTCTAGTATGTATATGTATTGAACATACACGAAATACGATTTTCTGTAATAATTTTCACTGCAGCAACTAAGTTATTTATGCTGCAACAAAAAGTGTCTAAAGCGTTGCCAAAAAATCTGCCAAAAGATGGAGAACGCCGTTACACTCTCTTAGCAATGCCAGTGTAGCTGCTTCAGTGTTCATTTCGAAAAAGAAATGAACGTATCTAAATGGCACAAAAATCGTACCTAAATCCGTCACAATGCACCTAGTAACTAGATAGTTGAGAGGCAATCGCGTCTCGGAAGAGGTCCAAGTGACTCACTCCTTGGGAATCCAGAGATAAAGATAGGCTTCGTCGCCTGGATAACATATATTGTCGTATGTTAATTTCGGCAGGTTGTGGGAAATCGCGATCGCGAAGTTTGGAATGCAATTTCTCAAAAACGCGAAAATAGATTTTCTCCAAAGTCTCTGAAAATGTTACTAGTTCACAAAATTCTTAAATTATTTAATTTTTAATGTTTGTTGTTAATTAGTTTTGAGTTTATGAAGTATTTTATTTAGTCAAATTTTGTCGTAAGCGTAATTTGTCTACAATTTGGCAGCCACTTTGTATGCAATACGACAAAATGTGATCAAAATTTCTACCAAATTAACGACACATTTTACTCAATTTCTCGGAAACTAAAGGAGATATTCAAAAAATGGAGAACGCCATTTTTACNACATTTTACTCAATTTCTCGGATGACTGCATCACCAACTAAATTTTTACTAAATTCTCGAAAAAGTTGTAGTCAATATCTCGGAAACTAGAGGAGATATCTAAACACTGATAACACCAATCGGAAGACCTTATTTCAAGATATATATAACTGCATCTAGAACTAAAAATCGTCAAAATGGCGCTTACGACAATCTTTTACCAAGGCGGCGATATATGTACGTACACCTTTGCTTGAAGGAGCCCCAGAGGAGCTTCAAATAGTTGTGACACTGAGCTAAAACTACAGAAAATGGTGGGGTTAATGGGTCAGCACACATAAAATGTCTCTTGATAAATAGACCACACTTAGGTCTCTTGTTCGCTGGTAACAACAATTTTTTAAGAAAGTTCCTGTAAATGTTTAAACCCTTTTAGACAACAACCCTTTTGGGTAACAACGTAGAGATCCGTGAAATATGCAATACACTACAACACTTCATAGTTGAATTGCTATATATAGATAGCAACAACGTTACCAACGTACCTAGAATGGCGGTAGCCAGAAGTGGTAAAATTGTTCGGTAACAAAATTTTACGGTTACAAAATCATCGGTGCAGAATATAACTGTAAACGAAACGGTTTTCAGTCCGCAATATGGCACCTCAAATCTAAAGATAGTTGTTGATTGCCCTGCCGACGTGCGTTCTTCTCGAGCACATAGTGGAGCCGAAAACCGTTCCTAGTTTCCCATGTGAACCAACAAAACAGCGCTACAACTACTCTTTGGGAGGAATCTGAACCCATAAAATGCCAATCAATTAGCTCCGCGCGAGTGGGGGTTGCGTAAAGCATCGTGTGTTCATACAGTGATGTGCCAAGCTGGGTTACCTTTGACCATTGATTGTGATGAACTAAGCATAGGAGGATTTGCATAAAGGTAGACGGCAATAAATAAAAGGGAAGTGTTCAAGCGGATTAAAACCACCGCGTTTTTCATAAATCGGTATACAGAAGGCTACTCTAACGCACTGTAATTCATTTCCCAAGGACTCGAAGCATCCCTAATCGTTTTTTACTTCTAACTACAGTTCCAGTTGGCCCTGCGAAAGCAAATCGTACTTAGTTTTAATCTCAGCTGATACGGATATAACTAATGAAAACAAACGAAATTAGTCAAACTCAAAATAGCGGTATTCTTCTTTGAATGAGCATCACAATACCAAATGACCATTCGTTCGTTCGATGAGCTCTTTAGATCGCAGTCGAAGATCAAATGCAACTCGATTCCACGACAGTCGGGTAGACGTAACCGGAACGACCCAGATTTATATCTGGCCAAGGACTGTCACTCCAGCAACACTCCCCAAAAACTCTTTGGGGAATCTGTATACTGTTACAACAACAACAACAAATGCAACTCATAATAAGCTCTCGTATGTTGGTGGGCCAAACAACATTGCATACGCAAACTGTTTTGCTACCTTCACATAGCCCACATGGTCCAACGATTTTTGAAGGGAATCTTACACTTTGTATCACTCTTGAACTTTCAGTATTTTGTTGGGGGGGTAGGGTCTAAACTGAAATGCTTCACCTTTTCGGAAACTCTACAGCTTGGCTTGTGCTCTCGGTCACAGGGTATATAAGAACACTTGTTGGACCGCAGAACTGAAGTGGCTCTCATGAAAGACTCCTCTTCAAAGGCCAGATATAAAGGAAGAAATTAATTGAATGTTTTTGATTTTTTGAAGGTTTACCAAAGTAATTATACTTCAACTGACAAAGGACCGATCAAAGTAAAAGTCTACTGACAAAAACAACACTAGTCTGCATATCGGTAGGTACCCATATATATGTACATATATACTACTGTATATATGTACATGTATCGTCGTTTAAAGTACAAAACCGCGTATCAACAAAAGCATAAATTATTTTTGAGAGAGTAAAAACACTAATATTTCAAAATTGTTCTCTTTTTTATAAAGCAATCGCATTTCTGGCTAGCATATTTCAGGACGAATGGATAAGGCTTGAGCGAGCTAAGAGCTTGTGTGAGCAAATCCAATTTTTGGCAGCAAATGTCAGTTACAAGGTTTTGCAGAATGACGATACGCGGTTTTGTACCTTAAACGACGGTATGGATGTATACTACATATATCGTCACTAGACACGAATTAAGGCGCGAGCTCAAAAGTTGACCGCGAAAAAGACACATAAAAACAACTCCAGCGAAAAAAGGCGCCTAAATTATTTTCGCGTGTCTAGTGACGATATCAGTTAACCCGCAGTGAAAAGCTGAGCTATTAAGCACAAATTCCTAAATACTCTTAACACCACAAAAACAAAAATGAACGAAATAATTTTTTTTTCTTTTTAAAACATTACATTTCAAAAATATATGGCATACAAAAATTATAATAGAAATAAAATAAAAATCCGCTGTCTGAGATTCGAACTCGGATCTTTCGAGTGGCGCGGCTGAGCTTTGCTCTGTTGTTGCAGCGTCGCGAGCAAAATGGCAAACTTATGCTTTTAACGGGAGATGATTTTGCAGTCTATTCCGTCCACACCCCAACAATATTTTTACTAGTTTTGACTACTCCTCTTTTGATTTTTTTTTCACATTTCATATAAAAAGTAGTCAAAACTGGTAAAAATGTTGATGTGCTATCTTTTGTCGCGGGGTGTACAGTGTCACAATAGCAATACATACATATGCACATACATACATCGTTTTCCTCGCGACTCACCGTTAGTTTATGGTTCTCAATATTAATACTCTCGCATATATATATATATATAGTTGCAATATACATACCCTGCAGCAATAAGGCGGCCAATTCTCCTTTAAGGACTAGTACTTCACTGGTTAAAATTTGACTGAAAATGTAAGCCTTCGACCCCCAACGGTCTTCAAGGAACCGGCCTAGAGATAGACGAAAAGTACAGTTTGGCAGTGACAGGGTGGTGTTGTCCTGCAATTCGATAACAAAAATTTAAAGAACACCACCCTGTAAATGTCCCAATCGCTTGGTCTGGCCTTGATACAAAGTGAACATTTGAACACACATTTATGTACATGCGTGGCTGTAGCTCAGTGCGCAGTGATGTTTGCCACTATTTGTTAGCTTTCAGGAGGGTCCGGGTTCAAATGCCACATGGTTATAAAATGATAAAATTTTTTATTTTTTTTTGTGTTTCCGAATTATGAAAAAGCATCTGCGAAGTGCAGAACGCAATCTTACTCCAACGAAAAAAATCTACGAAATTGAACTAGTCCAGGACTATCTTACGGTCAGTGTTGATTGGACCGAATGCTAAAAATGGCAGTTGAAACCATTGGCAGGGCAATTATGAGGGACTAGTGCTGGTAACAATAGGGACTATCTGAGGGCGGCTAACCTAGGGTGAGTCTGAATTGCTGCATGCGTATGTACATACATAAGTACAGATATACGAACGTATGTATGTATGTAGTATGTAAAAATTTCGTTTTTATGTTGGACCGAATTTACGAATGGCGGAGCTTTTCATTCCATTGCTTTCGGTATTTTCGTTGTATTTATTATAAAATACTTATGTAAGTATGTATATATACATACATACATACAATAATGCAAGTAAATAAAAGGATTTCCGCATGCATATGTACATATGTATGTATGTATGTAAGCGTTCATCTACTTTCAATGATTTACGTTTGGATTCGTTTTCGGTTTGATAGTCACATTGACCTGGCTCAGCGGACGACAAAGTTTGTCACAATAAAGCTGCATATAAAAGGCGTAAGGCAAGGCATTGGTTAAGAACTTAAAAGCCCGTTTTCGCAAACGGCCGTAGTCAGCGAAGAGTGGTCAGCTCCAAATTCCTGATTCCTGGCTACCGCGAGTGATGATATATACATATTTATGTGCATTAGGGTGGTCCTTAAATGATGTAGCAAGTGATTTTTTACATTAGATTTCCTAAGCCCCAACGTGTAGGCTACTACTGTAGTCAAAGATAAATTTTGGTCCCGATTGAAGTCGGTTCAGATTACCCTATGAAAACGTCTTAACCGACTCCAATCGGAAGCAAAATGTATAGATGATATCTGCGACCGTGGGTGAGACTGAAAAATCGTTAATTTGATTTTGTTGAAGGACCACCCTAATGCACATACATATGTACATATGTATGGGTAAGGGTCAGGCCGAAAATGCCTGACAATGTATGGAGTATGGAGAGTACATAGAAGTGCCTAAGCAAACAATAAAGCGTTCACTCACCTCGATAAAGTTTGGCTTTGCCAGAAATTTGCAGTGCGCTGACCGACTCCAATTGTTGCTGTTGTTGTTGCAGCTGATGATAGTGTGCCTGCAGATGATTATGCTGAATGTGCTGCTGCTGATGGTGGAGATGGTTTTGGCTTTGATTTTGAGTTTGATTAAGACTTTTTATTTGTGTCTGTTGTTGTTGTTGATGTTGCTGCAAAAAAGCTCGATTTGTTGCATTGATCGATGATACACTTGGGATGGCATTGTTGGTAGCCATGATCGAAGCAGGCGTTGCGCCAGAAGTGGTTGCTAGCGATTGTGGTTGCAGCTGCGGCTGTGGCTGTGGCTGTGGCTGTGGCTGTGCCTGTGCTTGTGTCTGGCGCTGCATCGTTTGTTGGTAGTGTTGCATATGTGGCAGCTGTGAAGAAATGTTGCCATGTGCGACATTTATCGCTATCGACTGATTGAATGTCATCCCATTTGAATTGGTCGCTGCCGTAATTGCCCCAGTATTGAGGGCCGGCGGACCATGCGTCGGGCAAAAAGTTCGAAGTTCACCGCTGGCATCGATGAACACGGGAGCAGCATCCATAAATGGCCAGGTGGCGCTGCTGTCACCCACTGCAGCCACAACCGTGGAAGCAGGGCTTGATTCCCGTTGTACGTTGGAAACAGTACTGTTGCTGCTGCCTTTGCTTGGTGTTTCGGCCGCCGCTGCAGTCAGCGAAATCACCTGCACTGGATAGATGCTTGGATGCGGTGCTTGCGGTGTGTTGCCAACCGTTACGTGCAATGCGCTGCTAGCTAAGGCAGTTGCGCCGATGCCAGCTGAGCCTGGCACAACACTATGCAAATGAATGTGTGGCACACCGCCCAATGAGTTGGCATGCTGTGTGCAATTATGCTGATGCTCTATAGATGACGTCACAAAGTTGTGTGATGGTTGTAGATTTGGCAACAGTGGCTGCGGCGGCTGCTGTTGAAAGGAATTTTTGGAGTAACTCTGTTGAGCCATGGCAGACACTTGGGGCTGGTGTTGCTGCGGCTGCGGCTGCTGTTCCTGTTGCGCCTGTGAATGGTGATGGAGACTCATCCTATGCAGCATAGTGGTAGTGGTGGTCTGTTGCAGATAATGCTGCTGCTGCTGCTGCTGCTGCTTTGGTGGCTGTGGTTGATAGTAGATTGCTGTCTTTTCGTGAGCGAACAGGGAGGACGCAGCTGCAGTTGTGGAAGAGGTGGTTGTCTGCTTTTTCCGTGCCGGATGAAACGATGGGGCTAGTGGCGTCAATTTCGATTTGAGCGCCTTCAAAGCCAACGTAACGGATGGTGTTGGGAGCTGTACTTTTGCAATAGGTAGCTCTTTTTTGGGTAACCGGTGTTCTGTTTTCTTAATGGACTGCATTGGATTTGAAACCGAACAAGAAGCTGTAATAGTTGCTGATATTGACTTGTTAACTCCCGATGGAATAGCTTCGCTCGATCCACTCAGAGCTTGGGAGGCTTTGGTGCGGCCGTTATTATTGTTATCATCGACAATCTCGGCTATGAACGGACTTTCGATTTGTGGACCAACAATGAAATGGCCAATATTCATATTTTCCTCACAATATGTATCTTCTTCCGCAATATCTTTAACGGGCCGAGTTGATTCCAGCAGCAGTGGGGGCGTCGTTGCCGCTATGTTTTCCGTTTGTTCTTGTGCCTTCATTATCTGATAACTCTCGCCGATAAATGTCACCAACTCTCGGCACGCGAAATTCAGTTCCTTATTTTCTTCCACCACATTGTCTTCGTCTGCGCCTTCCCAAGAGCCTGTGCAATGCATTTTTCTGCTGTGCTTGCAGTAGCTGTCATGGGAACAATCGATAACATGTTCGATAATTCGAAAATTATCATAGTCGATAATGCGCTCCTGGTAGGTACAATTGGCAGCTGTTTCATCGCAACCACAACCAAAATGGCTCGATGCATTGCAAGTACAATCACCTGGTTCTAAATCGTCTAAAATATTACTACTTTGGGATTCGAACGATTGGTTTTGATTGACTAAATGTTCATTATCCAGAGCGCTGCCAGTTACTGGCGATGGCTCATCTTCATGACCACCACCACCATCATTTATCGCATTCAGTGTTTGCTGCAGACAGTTGTCGCACTGGCTGAGACTATCTGATTTTGTGGAATTTTTATCGCCCACGAATCTGGAAAACTCATTACATTCATTACAATCGCGGTTCATATCGAAAACGTTTAATTCTCTATAGAACAACTGACTTTCATTTGCATTCCCAATCGCCTCGTCAGCAAACTCCTTTTCGCTGTTTGCTATATCCATTTCCTTGTTTTCGTCTGCTTCGTGAAATTCCATCAATCCATAGTCTTCACTGTCATTATTTGAAGCCACCACTGCCAACGCATGGTACGCATGTTCACTCTCCCCATATACATCCGTCCCCAGCTCAGTGTTGCCTGCTGTCAAGAGCTGTTCTTCGTCACTCAATGCGTCAGTCTGTGTACTATTATCGACAAGCCTAACCGACGCCATTGGGCCGCTGGCAATCATCTCTCCACCGATTGCCAAGTTATCATCATATTTAGAAGATGCCGTCACCGTTGCAACAAGTGGCAATGGTAACCTACGAGAATGGGTGTGTGTTCCTAACTCCGGCATCATAGCAGAAGAAGCCGAGGAGGAACTGGTCCCTACGAAGCCAGGCGAAACCGAAGTCAATGTCGTGAAACTATCTTCTTCATCCACGTGTCCGGCGTTAGTGCTGCTGATGAGAAATGTGGTAATAGCAGTTGCAGTAGCAGATTCCTGATTCAGCATGCTCTTGCGACTGACATTGGTAGTTGTTGTTGTTTCCGCCGTACTTGCTACATCTACTCCATCCATTGACACTCCTACAACAGCTGGAGGCGAAGCAGTAATTGCGGCAATGTGGCTAGTCACACTTGCAGCTGCCATACGAGAAAAGTGAGAAGTTAGCAGCCGATTTGGAATTTTGCAATAATCGCTTTACGTTAACTGTAAGCAGCCGTGATATTGTCGCAGTCGCAGTCGGTGTCGGACAAGTGTGTGTGCTCGCACTTTACAACAGCTGATAATGAGCCAGTTTTGCACGATGGCGCTGTACTATACTCCTTCCCTTTGCCAGTTGGCTTTTTTTATCGTTCTACCAGATGTTCACTTCAGCGCCAATTTTTTTGTTGTTCATTATTTTCGTTTGCGCTCCCCTCCAACGTAATCTTAGCGAGCGTTGACCAATTCACCAATATTTATTAGAGTTTGGTGTTGTATGCAGGTTCGTGCATGCATAGATTTAGCCGGCATCACAACTGAAAAAAGTAAATAAACATTTTACCATTAAAGTTGATTGCATAATTACAATAAAATATCGAATCCTAACCGCCAAAAAGGGTAAGCGATTTTTTTTTTGTTTTTAATTAAAAAAAATGTCGCTTACGTGTTTTTGGGGCGGTTAGGGGTCGATATGTACTACATATACATATGTACCTACAGTGCCGGTAAAAATAATAGCACTGTGAGGTACTATGAGGTCTATCAAAGGAAAACTCCAAATAAGTTTACTTCTAGTATCTTTTTATTTCTCTAACAAACTTATCATATTATTCCACACTAAATGAAAAAAAAAATTAAACTTAATTTAATGCATCGCCAAATTTTTTTAAGTATTTATATGGATGTATTCAAAATATGGCGGTAAAAAAATAGCACTAAGAATTAGTTATGCCCTTAAAAACTAAAATAAAATGTAAACTCTTAATTTTTCATTTAGAAGTGTATGTACATAAATATTAGGCTCCAGATTAATACTTAGTNTAGTTATGCCCTTAAAAACTAAAATAAAATGTAAACTCTTAATTTTTCATTTAGAAGTGTATGTACATAAATATTAGGCTCCAGATTAATACTTAGTAGCATGTCCTTTATTTTTAATAACGGCCGCACAACGTCTTGGCATGGAGTCAACAAGGTCCTGACATTTCTTTTTTGGAATCTTGCTCCAGGAATCTTTAACTGCCTCCCAAAGTGCTTCTTTACTGGTTGGTCTGGCATCATGAACTGCCAACTTGACCGCAGTCCAGAGGTTCTCAATTGGATTGAGATCAGGCGACTGTGCAGGCCACTCCATAACATTGATCAAATGATCCCCAAACCACTTTTTTGCCCTCCTACTAGTGTGTTTGGGGTCATTGTCCTGCTGAAAGACCCACCTTAATGGCATTTCCTCTTCGGCCTAAGGGTACATCACTTCCTCTAATATTCTTACGTGTACATATTGATCCATGATTTCTTTGATCCAATATATAGGGCCTACACCATTCTAGGAAAAACAAGCCCACACCATTATACTAGTACCTCCGTGTTTGAGAGTTTTTGTAGTGAACTTGGGATCAAATTCAGTTTTCTGGGGCCTCCTAACGTAGTCTCGACCACCTTTGCCACCATAGAGCACAATTTTGCTTTCATCCGCCCAAAGAATGTTCCTCCATTTCCCTACCGGCCAGTCCAAATGATCTTCTGCAAACTTCAAACGCTGTTTCAAATGCTTACTCGTTAATAAAGGAACCTTTCTGGGAGTGCACGACTTTAAACCATTCTCTCTAAGCCGGGAGCGAACTGTCTCTACACATGCCGTGATATTAAGCTACTTTCTAAGTACAGTTGCTGGCTTAAAAGGGTCTTTTTGGCTTTGCCGAATAAGCCGTCAGACCAGTAAGGGTGACATTGCCCGCTTGCGTCCACGTGTTTCTGGTTTTGGAACAAATTTTAATGCATTTCGGATCATTTTGTTGGAACAGCCAACTGTACGGCCCACTTCCGCATAAGTTTTGCCTTGAGAAATTAGTTTTTTTATAATTTCACGTTTTTCTGCGCTGCAACGTCCCATAACTATTCAAACAATTTACAAAATTCAACTTTTTACACAACAGAGGTATTAAACAAATTATATTTACCTTTATTCACGGAAAAATTTTTAATAAATGTAAATGAAAGATATTTTTCAAACGAAATGCGCAGCCAGTGCTATTATTTTTACCGCGTCAAATCGAGTACCACCGAACAAATTACTTGAAGTTGAGAGAACCGTTATTATTTCAAGCAAAACGAAGCACTCTTGAAAAGAGAATTTTATTACCTAACTGTTAAAACAGAAGAAGCCTGAAACTTGTGATGCTCTCAGATTTTTCAAATAGGAATGAAAAGTTCATAGCGGTAGTGCTATTTTTTTTACCGGCACTGTATGTAAATATTGTATTCAAATTTGTTATAATAAGTATTCAGGTACTCTTGCATGTATGTATGTAGTCTTGCGTCGTCTACATACACCGAATTGTATATAAGTAACAGATTGACTGAATAGCTGCTATTGGACAGCTCTGCTCCTTGGTTTGCAGTTAGTAGTTTGAAAACTTCGTGTCGTATACGTAACCTAAAATTCATCGGTTTGTAATAGTGATGTTGCAAATGTCACATTTTCGCGAATGTACGAATGCGAATGTACGAATGCGAATGCGAATGCGAATGTTAGGAATAACATTAAAAAGGCTATAATCGTCTTAAGTTGATCGTTTTTATTACTTTAAAATTTTGTAAATTATTAGAACATTGAACGAATGCTAACCTATACAGTGTTTTAATCTATGTAGTAGTCAAAGTTTTATATTTCGAAAAAAGTAATTTTGCTGCCGTTTCTCCCGTGAGGCGATTTCTTAGAGGCTCGTATATAAGGCCGGCTGCACTGAACAAATAATTGCTCACTTGGAACGCTGGCGGGTGGAGCGCTAAAATATTTGCGGGCCAGATCTATCCATTTGTCGTATTTTAATTTAGTTTTCCACCAATAGAGGGAGGATTTTCAACGAGATGAGCTTTAATTTTTCTCGACGATATGTATGTTTCAATTGAGCTTCAATTTTTGCATTTTTTAATGTCTCCAATGTTTAAATTTATTTCTAGCAATAAGCCTTTTTCGGCATTCTATCAAGAATGCCCACGATTTAGCTTTCCCTGATTCCATATATGTACATATACTCACTTGATGTTGCTTTTTTTAAGATATGTATTTGCCTTTAATTGTAAAAGGCGAGGAAGAAGCCCTTATTCCTGATAATATTTCAAACGTTCCATATTTAAATTGGGCGCCACTTGCATCAACTCACGTCGAGCGCATGTTTAGTACATTCAAGGCAGTGTTACAAGGCCTGTTCTGTTACAAAAAAAAAATCAAGTAGATAATGAAGGAAATCGACGGATAAATAGAGAAGTAATAAGCGGTCATATGAAAACGCGCAAAGATTTTTTGTATGAAAAATAAGCGGGCAAGAATGTTAATCATACGCCATGTACACCCGAAAATATCTCGAAAACTTATCCATAGAATAAAACATTAACTCGATTTTCAGATTCAGCGAGCAATTCTATATAGGAATTGTGTTATTTTTCAGTTTTCGTCTTTTTAGTGCATTGTTTTGCCTTTTTTGATATTTCTGGTGCCTTTTCCTGCCTATTTCGCTATTTTATTTTGCCTTTTTTATAGGTCCTAAAATCCGTTCCCTGCTTAAAAGACATTTAGCAGTACTTATTGAAGGTAGGGGGGGGGGTTGAAATTCGATTTTTTCCGAATTTCGAACATTGCCCAACCATTCGATTATTCGATTCGAAATTTGGTGGTGCAAATTCGATTTGGTTCGAATTTTGTCGAATTTTCCAAAAAATTTTTGAAGTGAAACTTCTTAATCGAGTTCGGAGATATTTGCTTTGAATATTTAACACCATGTCATAAAATCTGTATCGTTCGTTCGATTTTCAAAAAGGAGGTAGGTGTCAAAAAAAAATTGGTATGAAAAAAAAATTTCCATCGATAACTTAAATCTGTGACACACAATGGCTAGAGGCGTCGCCTGAGTTCATTCTTTCATATATTTATGTATGTGCCAGTTTTACCGTTATATATTTTTTATCTACTCGTTTATTCCATGAGGTCTTCATGCTTTATTTAAATTTAAAAAATTTAATTACTATTCCGTTTTAAAAATCTGAAAATTCACTGCGGGAAATTTTTTTATTCTTTTTTATTCTCTTTTTGTCTTCGCCTTCTCGTTTTTGCCTTTATAAGTTTTGAAAAAAGGTTTTGAACGAACCATTATATCACATTCCTAGGCAAGTTTTGAAAGAATATTTTCGATACTAAATTTTATTAAAACAAAATGTTTCCTATAGCTTCCTATATAGAAACAGTGTCATCGTTAATTAAGAAAGAGATGTTCTTACGATACTATTGTTATTATATTGACTCGATTTGACTATTTATTTTATTATATTTCAATTTGAATTATTTGTTTATAAAAATATAGTTTATTCCTTAACAAACACTAAATGAAAATAAGTTTAATCTTTGAACAACATTACAAAAATCGACAAGTTTTCGTAAAAATTTCGAACTTTCTATTTCAATTTTATCTCTTAATATTTTGCAGTTTTTTACCTCATTCAATTTTTGTCTAATAAAGTGCAAATTTAAAGTAGCTGCGATTTACAGTTGATGTCTGGCATATTTTTAACGATGTCGGTAATTTTCTTCCATATTATCTAAGTGTGTTCGACGATTTTTTAATGAAGAAAATGAGCAACGCCTTCATCAAAAAAAAAAAAAAAAATATATTAAAAATCAACGATAAGTCGCAGCTATGTATTTTAAAGTTGCGTTTTTTTTTGTATTGATCGGGCTGCAAAACTGCATACTCAAAATATGTATTTCTAGGAAATCTAATTAAAAAGCTTTACGAAAGTTTGTTGATTTTTTTTAATGTTGCGCAAAGATTAAACTTTGGATTTAAATGGGTTTTGTTAAAGTGTAAACTGCAATTTTATAAACAAATAATAAAAATTATACAATTTTAAGATAAATGGCGAATTTATGTATGTATCATGTATAAAGTTTTGATAAGCACTTGAAATACNAAGTTTGTTGATTTTTTTTAATGTTGCGCAAAGATTAAACTTTGGATTTAAATGGGTTTTGTTAAAGTGTAAACTGCAATTTTATAAACAAATAATAAAAATTATACAATTTTAAGATAAATGGCGAATTTATGTATGTATCATGTATAAAGTTTTGATAAGCACTTGAAATTCTCAAGTTTTAGTACTGAATTCAAAGAAGATGTCTCTTTTATCCATTCATAATAACTTCAAAAAAATTTTTTTGGTAAGAAGTGTATCTTAAAATATCTGACATTTATGTTAAAAGTGTAAAATATGTAAATGTACCTACATAAACTTTCCCGTGAATACCATCAAATCATTGGTC